TACTACTGAGCAGATGAAATTCCCTGCACTCTTGTATGGTATACTCTAGTAGAGATGATAATCAGGTAATAAAGTAAACAAGTGTGTAGGTGTGTCAGGCAGAAATGAGGAGGCAGAACACGAACAGGGAAGGGGAAGAAGGCAGGAGTGGGAGTCAGGGGCCAGAGCAAAAGGCCTTGAGGGGCAGGCAAGGCAAGGCTTTCATTCTACACCAAAACAAAGTCACCGGTTGTAGGAGAACAGGGGCCGGCGCCGTGGCTCACTTGGTTAATCCTCCGCCTGCGGCACCAGCATCCCATATGGGCGCCGGGTTCTAGTCCCGGTTGCCCTTCTTCCAGTCCAGCTCTCTGCTGTGGCCCGGGAGTGCAGTGGAGAATGGCCCAAGTGCTTGGGTCCCTGCACCCCCATGGGAGATCAGGAGAAGCACCTGGCTCCTGCCTTCGGATCGGCGCAGCGCTGGCTGTTGCGGCCATTTGGGGGGTGAACCAACGGAAGGAAGACCTTTCTCTCTGTCTCTCTCTCTCACTGTTTATAACTCTACCTGCCAAAAAAAAATTTAAAAAAAAGATTGTAGGAGAACAAAGGTGAGGGAGACCCATCAGGACCCCAAAGCAGTCATTCAGGTGAGAGAAGGAGGCTGGCAGTGTGTGTGTTGGGGTGTAGGGGTGGTAGTGACTGGGTCCTGGACATATTTCGGAAGTGTAGCTGACATTATTTGCTAAGGGGTGAGATGTAGAGAGGAAGCAAGAGAGGAGGCAGGGATGATGGTAGGGTTGTCAGCCTGGAAGCTGGAGACACCCTTTAGTGAGCTAGAGCCGGCATCAGGAGTAGCAGCTTGGAGCTGGGGACTGTTTGGACAGGTTGGCTTTGGCAGATCTACCAGACATCCAAGTGGAGATGGCAAACCAGATCCGTGCTTTCATGTTCAGCGGAAATAACTGTGGTGGAGAAAAGCTTGGGAGTTGAGTTTCCTATCAATGGCATCTTAGGCTGCTTCTGAGGTTAGACGAGGGCCCGGGAGTGTCTTCCACAGCTTCCCATACTGCATACGTCCTTTACTCTTTAGAGTTGAACAGTGGTGAAAGAAGAAAAGCTTTGGACAGACTGGTGGAATCCCTGCTCTACCGCATAACAGCTGGGTAGCCTTGAGTGAGTAACTCAACTTCTCTGAGCCTCTACCTCGCCAGAGAACTGGTGATCAGCTGCACATATCCAGGGCTGTGTGGGGCTGGCATCTGACAATGGATGCGCAGTCTGCTTGCCCAGAACCAGGAAGGGATGAAGGATGTTAGCTCTTTCCCAGCCCCGATATGGCCTGCTTAAGTGCTATGCACAGCAAGTAATGGCTGGTTTCTCCTGGGGGAGGGGTAACCCAGGCACCTCCAGGGGGAGGCGGGAACACCAGGATGCTGTGGGGGAGCTCCATGGCGTGCGTGTAAGGTTGACTTTGTTCCCATCTTGGATACCTTGGCTGTTTCAGTCTTGGGACGGCTGTTGGCATTTAAGTATTTTCTTTCTTTATTTTTTTTAAAGACTAATGTTAGTTATTTGAAAGAGTTACAGAGAGAGGTAAAGACAGAGAGAGAAAGGTCTTCCATCCACTGGTTCGCTCCCCAAATGGCCACAACAGCCAGAGCTGAGCCGATTAGAAGCCAGGGGCCAGGAGCTTCTTCCAGGTCTCCCACATGTGTGCAAAGGCCCAAGGACTTGGGCCATCCTCCACTGCTTTCCCAGGCACATCAGCAGGGAATTGGATTGGAAGTGGAGCAGCCAGGATTTAAGTATTTTCAATCGCATTTAAGTATTTTAAATCGCACATAGTTATGGGGACATCTCAAAGGCATGAAAGCTTTGCCTAAAAAGATGAGCCCTGGATATCGATGAGCTTCTTGCCTCAGAAACAGTGACACTGAGAATCCTTCTGGCCCAGGTAAGGGAGTCCAGGTAGCTCCCTAGAGACAGGAGAGTCCATCTCATTAACTTAATGAGGGGATCAGATTGGCCACCAATAAAAATCTCATAGTAATGTCAACATGTGGCATTTTGTTGACCTTCCAGGAGCCTGAGTTTTATCAGTTGGGGGTCTCTTTTTACCAGCTTGATTTCCGAGTAAGGGGTCCACACAGGCTGAAGCAGAAAGAGGAGGTGGGTGGTGGGACCCCAATTACAGATGAGGGGTCCCATCCTGCCTCTCAGGGAGGCAGCCCCTTCTCTGGATCCAACCACAGGGCCTGCACTGTGCCTCCTTCTCAGACTCTGGCAGGGCCCCCTGGCCCTAGACCCCGCACTGCACCTGAGGGCCTGGGCGCAGGACGGGTTTACAACAGCTTGTGTTTCCCCTGTGCCTTTTCCTGGGTTCCAGCTTAGAACCCTGAGGCTCAGCAGACACCGGAAGGGAGGGGAGGGGGGAGGAAAAGGGAGGAGGAGAGTAGAGGGGAAAGGAAAGGAGGAGGGGAGGGGGGAGTAGAGGGGGGTAAGAATGGAGGGGAGAGGAGGAGAGCACTACATTACTCCCATCATCTCTGTGCTGGAGACTTGGGACCAATTTTGTTTTTAAAACAAAGATTCATATTTTTTAAGTTATATTTTTTAAAAGATGATGATGGTTACACTTTATTTTATTTTTATTTTTAAAGATTTTATTTATTTATTTGAAAGGCAGAGTTAACGGAAGAGGGAGAGGGTGAGACAGAGAGAGGTCTTCCATTCACTGGTTCACTCCTTAAATGGCCACAACTCCAGAGCTGTGCCGACTGAAGCCAGGAGCCAGGAGCTTCTGGGTCTTCTACATGGGTGCAGGAGGCCAGGCACTTGGGCCATCTACTGCTCTCCCAGGTGCATTAGCAGGGAGCTGGATCAGAAGTGGAGTAGCTGGGACTTGAATTGGCACCCGTATGGGATGCCGGCGCCACAGGCAGAGGATTAACCTACTACGCCACAGCGTCGGCCTCTAGACCAATTTTTCTTAAAGGATAGGGCAACTCCATAAGGTTAAAGTCAAGAAACAAATTTAAAAAGTGCACTTTTTTTTTCCTGAAGGGCCAACATCCTAGAGCCACGTTCCACATGGACAGGGGGTTGTGTGCTCTTATTTCTCTCTCAAGCCCAGAAGGAGCCACGAGTTATTCCAGCCTGAGCCTGGGGTCTGATTCCCTGTGAAGTCGCAGGAGGCTTTCCTGAGGGGTGGCTGTGAGAGGGGACCTCAGGACAGGCAGGTACTCTGTTTTCCTTGAGGCCCTGGTGCTGCACAAAGGGAGGTGCATTAACGATAAGAAAAACAAAAACCTTTAAGTCATGATTACTTTTTTCTAGCTATCAAATAAAGATATGTTCATCAAGGTGGAAAAAGGCTTTGTGGATTCTAAAGTTCATACAATTTGGGGTAGTTTTTAAAGGAAAAAAATTACAAAATCAGCTCTGGTTTGATTATTTGTTTTTGAAGGGGCTCCTGCAAAGGAGAGAGCTGAGGGTCAGCTTCATTAGCTTCAGGTTGAATCTGCCCCTTCTTCCCATCCCGCCAGACAGCCTCGTCCTTTGGCAAATAGCAGCTTTCTTGAGATGTGGTTCACATACCACACAAGTCCCGTGTTTAAAGAAGGCAAGTGCATGGTTTCCAGAACATTCTCAGAGCTGTGCAACCCTTCCCATAATCCCTGTGGGACATTTCCATCCCATCCAGTTTGGTGGGGGACATGCCTGTGTTTCCAAGGAACAGAAAGGGGCTGGTGGGGCAGGAAAAAGATGAGAGTGAGAAAATGAGGACCGGCACATAACAGGTGTCAGATCGCGTGGGAATTCCAGCGCATTCTAAGGACTTTAGTCCCTCAGTGTTTTGGCCAAAGGGGCATTTTCAGCAGGGCAGTGTCACCTGTGAGTGCAGGGCTGGGCCATTTAGATATTTATAGCATCATCTGGGGGCCATACAAATTAATCAACTTAAAAGATTAGCCTGCTATAGATTTATTGAATTTTGCATCCCACCTGTGGTTGCCTTGGCAGGGCCAGACTAAATGATTTTCCAGGCTTTCTATGGCCCATGGGCTGGACATTCCCCCATCCCTGTAAAGACAGCTCTGACTGCTGCCCCGGACACAACCTGGAGGAGCAGGGGCAGAAGCATTGTGCCTGGTCCAAAGGCTGTGGCAACGATCTGGGGGGTAGGTGATGGTGGTTCAGAGTAGCGCGGTAGCAGTACTGGGAATGGTTAGATTCTGGATTTGTTTATTTTAAAGGAAACTGAGATAGTATTTGTTGATGTGTCGGTTGTGAGATTTGGGACAAAAAGACAAAACCACAATGACAGCTAGGTTTTGGGGCTAAGTGGCTGGCCAATCACAGAGATGGAAAAAAACTCATGGCCTCATGGCTTAGCAGGTTTGGCAGGGAGGTGCGGACTCATGTGAGTGCTACTCTTTTAAGAGATTTAACCAAGTAAGGAAGGAGAGACACAGGTGGTAGCTGTATAGGAAATGAGATTGAGTGGGTTAAGGGCAGAGAGAATGGCGGGTTTCAATGCTGATGGGATCCGTTCAATAGAGAGAGAAATGGCTGGTGCAGACAAAGGGAGGGGAAGGCTGAAGCCAGGCAAGTGGGTGGTGGTGGGCATGGCTGTAACCCTTAAGCGCAGGGCTTGCTGTTCTGTAGTTGGAGGGGAGGGAGCAGGCAGGGGAGCAGAGTGGGAGTGCTCTTCGCAGAGCTTCAGGAAGCCCGAGAGCAAGGGTCTGGGAGGAGAGCTGAGGCTGGAAGGGAGCACGCCGTGGGAAGGGAAGGCCGGGGGAGCTCCCTAGGATGTCCGGGAAGATTGAGGCCCCCCGAGGGTCGTGTTGGCTTTCCTTCAGCTGGGTCAGCTGCGGGGTGCAGGTTTAAGGTGGGGGGAGAGTTGGGTTTTACCAGGGTTGAAGAGTAAGTAAGCCTGGTTCAAGGAAGGAAGTCTGAGAGAGTATTATTGACCACAGATAGGAAAAAAAAATGCATGATGATACATTTCTGTACTTCTGTTTTGAAAAGGTATCTATTTATTTGAAAGGCAGAGAGGTAGAGAGAGGGAGATCCACTGGTTTCCGTCCCCCAAAACCTGCAACAGCTGTGGCTGGGCCAGGCTGAAGCCAGGAGCCAGGAAATCCATTTGGGTTCCCGTGGGGGTGCAGGAACCCAAGTTCATGGGTCACCCTGTGCTGCCTCCCAGGTGCACGGCAGGAAGCTGGATGACAAGCAGAGCTGGGACTTGGTTCCAGGTACTCCATCTGGGAGGTGAGCATCGGAAGCCGCATTTAACCTGCTGGGCACAGTGCCTGCTGGAATTTGCTAAGGAGCAGGAGGGAAGAAGGGACACGGGGTGGGGGTGGGGGATGAGGGACAGTGAACAGCTGCAGGACCAATGGATTCCAAATGTCAGTGTAGATGCTGAAGCACAGCAGTGTTCCTTGTTTGTTTTCGGCACCTGGGGGCAATGGGTGCAGTTAGAAACGCACAGAACTGAAGCCACACGAACATGAATCCAGTGTCTCAGCTCAGTCACTCAAGAGAGGCTTAGCCGAGCCTTGTTCTCTCTTTCCTTTAGAGTTAAGTGAGCTGTCATTTGGAAGGCCCCCACGGATGGCCGCAGAGGGTGGCACTTGGTGGGGGAAATCCCATGTCCTCTGCGCACTGCACATCCCCTTGACTTTTGGAACAAGTCCTCCAACCTGCAGGGAAAGAACTTAAATGTTTATTTACATTATCGAATCACTTATTGCTCATATTAATAATTTTTTGTTATTAATTACTTAATTAATCATTTAAACCACACTTTGAAGAGAGTCATTGATGAGAAATTAGTTTAAAAGGTAAAGCGAGGGAGGGAAGTTAGAGGGAAGTTGGCCCATGGGCACCAAGCACGGTCAGATAGAAGTCACAGTTCTAGTGTGCACAGCTCAGCAGGGTGACTGCACTTCACAATAACAGATGATACTCTGTGTAAAGAACCGGAAGTGAGGTGTTGGCAGCCTCCAAACACAAATAAAAGATAAGAAAATGCTAATTGCCCAATTTGATCAGTTTCTACTGTGTACATGTGTTGAAATATTACACAGTACCCCCACAAAAATGTACACATTTTTTGTTGTTACAAGTTAAACAAAAATTTTAAAACATTTTAAATTAAAAATATATTTAAGGAGACAGAAAGGATAAGGGGAAAACATAAGTATAGCCCCCAAAATTCAAAGATGAAAAATGGAGGCAGGAGAGAAGGGGAGAGGAGATGAGAAATTCAACTGTGGCCTTGGCCAAGGAAGCGCCCTTGGTCTGCTCTTTAACTTGCGCTCAGTTTCCCCTCCCCCTTTCCATTTACTCTGCATGGATAAGAGGCAAGAATTAGGCTCCAGGGCTGTACGTCAGGTGCTAGCTTCCATTCCTGTGCCTGGGATAATGGATTTGACCTCAAGATAAGGTCTTTCTTTTTTTAATTTCAAGTTTATATATTTATTTTTAAAGATTTAGTTATTTGAAAGGAAGAGTAACAGAGAGAGAGGGAAAGACAGATCTTCCATCCGCTGGTTCATCCCCACATGTCTGCAATGGCAAGGGTGGGACCAGTCCAAAGCCAGAAGCCAGGAGTTTCATCCGGGTCTTCCAAGTTGGTAGCAAGGCCCCAAGCACTTGGACTATCTTCTGCTGCTTTCCCTGCACATTAGCAGGGAGCTGGCTTGGAAGTGGAGCAGCCAGGACAAGAGCCAGCATCGAAGGTGGCCGCTGAATCTGCTGTGCCACACCAGGGGCCCTAAGATAAGGTCTTTCTTAAGCAAAAGTTTGGTGGGGGGGTCCTTCCGGAGGAGGGTTGTCCTGGAGGCATTTGTGGTGCCCATATTTTGGGGAGGCAGGTGCAGACAAGAGCAGTACCTGACCCTGTCCACAGAAGGGTGTGACAGCTTCTTTCTCATTTCTCTCCCCGGTATTCATGTTTTGCTTGGGGATCTAGGCATCGTGTTCTCCTAAAGCGTGGTCCCTAGAAAGTGCTAGAAAGTAAATGTTCGTGAGAGATTCAGCTTGGGGAGGTGTGCAGTGGGAATGCTGTCCTCCCACAAGGGTGACCCTGAAGGAAGCAGAGACAATCACCTTCCAATGCCGCCCACCTGCATTCAGGTTCTGGCCCTTGCAGCCTGGTGGGCGTGCCTCTCTGAGCCGGATTCTCCTTTGGTAAAACGCATAGAATGCACAGTGCTCGCCTGGGTCTGCAGCCCTTGCTTTCCGTTCCTTCCTCTCCCAGCAGAGAGCAGCTTCGCTGAAGGCAGGGGCGACTCTGGATTCCCTGTTGTGTCCCTGGAACTTCGCACGGAGCCTGTCACTCAGCTCAAGTGAGTTCCAGGTCCGCCAAGAGACTGAAGAGCTCTTTCCGACCTGTGTCAGGTTACCAAAAGCTCTGCGGTTTTAATCAGGTTTGCCTTTAAAAAAAAAAAAAAATCTGGTCGTCCAAGGCCTCTCTGCTGGGAGTGATTTCCCTGTGACAAGCTTCTCGCTCAGACCAGGGCTCAGCCACAGCTTCAGTGGGCGATTCTCTTACCCTGAGGATTAGTCCTGGGGACCTCCTGCTATTTAAGGTCTGGTACAACGCCCGCCGCGTGAGTATCTCGAAAGAACGGAAATCCCAGGAAAGCGGTGGAGACCCCTTCTGCACTGAGGTTGCACAGAAGGCCATCTGTGGGCACACGTCCTTTCTTGCTCTGTTGCCTGCTGGCTGCCAGGGAGCCACTTGCTGTGTTGTGACAGGTCCCAGGGAGGCAAGGCGCTGATGGAAGCCTCTGGCCAACAGCCAGCGCAGAGCCAAAGTCCTCAGAACACCTGTGAGGAGCAGGCCCGATGACAACCACCTGAGTGAGCCAGGGCGGGGACGCTGTGCCCTTGAACCTGGAGATGCCTGCAGCCCCGGGCGGTCCTTGGCTGCAGCCAGCAGTGGCAGATGCTGAGCCGCGCCACCAGCTAAGCTGCCTCTGGGTTCCTGACCCACAGACACTGGGACACAGCCAATGTGTGCTTTTTTAAGTCAGTGAATTTTTATGCGGACAAATGAAATAAATTTATAAGTTGAAGAGCACAGTTTTGTTTAAAAGGAAGAAGACAGGAGGCAGCCCCTTCTTGGGAGAGGGTAAGTGAAACACAGTGGTTACCGGCCTGGCTTTAAAGTTATCATGGGGGCCGGTGCTGTGGTGTAGCGGGTAAAGCTGCCACCTGAGGCACCAGCATCCCATTCGGGCACCGGTTCAAGTCCCGGCTGCTCTACTTCTGATCCAGCTCTCTGCTGTGGCCTGGAAAAGCAGTAGAAGATGTCCCATGTCCTTGGGCTCCTGCACCCATGTGGGAGGCCCGGAAGAAGCTCCTGGCTCCTGGCTTCGGATGGCGCAGCTCCAGCCAATGCAGCCATTTGGAAAGAGAACCAGTGGATAGAAGACCTTTCTCTCTGCCTCTGCTTCTCTGTAACTCTGCCTTTCAAATAAATAAATCTTAAATAAAAACAGCAAAAATAGTTACAATGGACGTGAGCTGGAGCTTTGGGGCTGTGCTGAGTTGCTCTGTGACCTTGGGCAAATTACCTGAACTCCATCATTAAGAGGTAGCTTCAAAAAATTCATGGAAAATGCTTGTCATTTTTTTAAAAAAGATTATTTGTTTATTTGAAAGGCAGAGTTACAGAGAGAGGAAGAGATGGAACAAGAGAGACCTTCCATCCACTGGTTCACTCCTCAAATGGTTACAATGGCCAAGTTTAAGTCAGGAGCCTGGAACTCCATCCAGATCTCCCCCCTGGGTGGCAGGGACCATCTTCCACTGCCTTCCCAGGCGCATTGGCAGGGAGCTGGACTGGAACTGGAGCAATCGGAATTTGAACCAGCACTCATATGGGATCCTGGCATTGCAGGTTGCACCACAATCCTGGCCCCTGTATGCCATCTTTTTTTTTTTTTCTTATGTCAGATGGGTACGTTGCTGATAACATCTCACAGAATTGTGTATACACTCAGTCATCACGCTTGTGAACCACAGAAAAGATCCGTATGCCATTTTTAAATTCCATTTTCCTTGAACTGGTTGAAACCCCTGGTGTCAGCTCCCTTGTTTGTTAACTAAGTAAGGCCTCACTTTGTTGTGATAATTAAATGAGAGGCGCATATAAAGCATTGGTCTCCACAGTATTCAGTAAGCACAAGCGGAAGAAAGATCAAACAGGGACCCAGAATCCCAGGGCTGAGCGCCCCCCAGCAGTGTGGGAAGGGCGCACTCCACCCTCAGCTTATCTGGTATTTGGAGGGACTCCTGTCTGAGCTCCTAATTGTGAAATCATCACAGATCTTCCTTGCCACCCACAAGTTCGCTGTCGAAATTCCTGCTGGTTTCGATTTTCATTCTTCAATATTTTTTGGATGGAAATAAACCATGTGCAGTTGGGACCTGTGGAGACTCCAGCCATGCAAAAGGCTTCTCAACAGGAGCCCGGCTCCCCCTGGGAGGCCAGGCTGCCTCCCACCCACCTTCCCAGGCCTTCCAGGAGAGCTGCTTTAGGCTAGCTCAGGAAGGCGGCCTGCACAAATGCAGCCGCCCAGGACACACGCATAGGACCCTCCTGTCTCCTATGCAAGGCTCCAGGCCTCTGGGGTAGAAGGAGGGAACTGGCTTCTCCCTCCCAGGCTGGGGGGCAAAGGGGCTCCTGGACAGGTCTGGTGGCTGCACCCTGGGAGAAAGACACAGAGGGGTGGGGTGGAGAGGGAGCAAGAAACAGAGAGCAATGAGCAGGGGGAGGGAAGTGGGGGTGGGGGAGGATGGAGGGAGCACACACAGCAAGGAGACCCTGCCTTTTGTAAACCCCTCTTGGAAGGGACATGCCGTCTCTCCCACCCTGTCCACCATGGGCCAGTCTCTAGAAGCAGCCACAATCAGGGGGAGGGACAGGCATGAACCAAACGAAGCAGCCGCCAAGGCGATTGGTACACTGGTGGACGTCCTGCTGACAAAGCCACCCAACTCCTATATGGAATGACTCTCCTTGATTTTCTTTTTAAAGATTTATTTATTTGTTTGAAAGGCAGAGTTACAGAGAGGCAGAGGTGGGGTGGGGGTGGTGGAGAGAGAGAGGAGGAAGGGGTCTTCCATCTGCTGGTTCATTCCCCAGATGTCCTCAGCGGCAGGAGCAGCGCTGATCTGAAGCCAGGAGCCAGGAGCTTCTTCCGGGTCTCCCATCCGGGTGCAGGGGCCCAGGGACTTGGGCCATCTTCCACTGCTTTCCCAGGCCGAAACAGAGAGCCGGATTGGAAGTAGAGCAGCGGGGACTTGAACTAGTGCCCATATGGGATGCCAGCACTGCAGGCAGCGGTTTTACCTGCTACGCCACAGTGCCGGCCCCAACAAATCTATATTTTAAAGATATGAAACTTCCCTCCATTCTCTCCACCTCATTTACACTGGTCTCAATTTCACAACCAAAAATTAATATCTCTGTCTCCTAGCACATAGTTTAAAAAGCATGCTGAAGGGCTGGCACTGTGGCGCAACAGGTTAAAACCCCAGCCTGAAGCGCCCGTATCCCATATGGGCGCTGGTTCTAGTCCCAGCTGCTCCACTTCCGATCCAGCTCTCTGCTATGGCCTGGGAAAGCAGTAGAAGATGGCCCCCAAGTCCTTGGGCCCCTGCACCCATGTAGGAGACCCAGAAGAAGCTCCTGGCTCCTGACTTCGGATTGGCTTAGCTCCAGCCATTGTGGTCATTTGGGGAGTAAACCAGCAGATGGAAGATCTCTCTTTTTCTCTCTGTAACTCTAATTTTCAAATAAGTAAAAATAAATCTTATTAAAACAAAAAAGCGTGTTGAAAATATATTTCTTTTTATCACAAGCAGAGGTGCTGTAGATCTTGATCCTTAGACAGATTTATTGACCAGTTAATCCAATAAATTTGCAGCCTAAGAGTCACGTGCTCCTCACTATGTGATGAGCTACAGAGTTGCCTGTTGGAGGGATTTTTTTTTAATTTTTCTTTCCAGTTATGTGAGCAGGGAAATGACTCATAGTAAAGAGCCTGAATCCATCACAGACCTAAGGCAGTCAGGATTGGCCAGGTGATCTAAATCTGGCCAGAAGCGTGCCAACAGGTACAGGGATGCCCCAGGTGAGTATCCTTACCTGCCAGACGGCCGTGCAGGGGTCACACACTCCAACAGAGCTTGGGCTCCATGCTCCTCTTCAGGCTCAGCTGTTCAGGCTCAATTCTGGGTTTTCTCAATGACAATTTCCCACATTCAGGAAGAGGCAAAGAGACTCAGGCCTATCTCGGTCTTCCCTTCCGGCACTGGCCAGAAGCATTCCTGAAGGCATAGCCAGGGCTGTCAGCACCTCCCAGCAAGGTTCCCAGGTGCAAGGGGCTTCAGGGACACACTTGGAAGCCTATGGTGTTGGGAGATCAGGAAGATCCTGCTCTTTGGCCTGGACCATCCCTAACCATTGCAGCCATTCAGGGAGTGAACCAACAGATGGAAAATCTCTCTGTCTTCCCTCTATCTTTCTGTAGCTGTGCCTTCCAAATAAACAAGATAAATCTTTTTTTTTTTTTTTAAGTAAGGCTTGTTTTGAATTTTGGGGAAGAACCTAAGGAGAGAGTCCGGGGAAGGAGTGCTGCAGACACACACACACACACACACGCACAACTTGTGCCATCCAACTCTGATCATGGGGGAGTGGACACTGCAGGTCCAGCAAGGAGCAGAAGCAAAGGAGTGGAGACATGGGACAGGGGGTGCTCAGGGGAGAAGCAAGGTAGTTCGATAAGCACAGCAGGGAAAGCAGATCAGGGTCTTGTGTCGCTCCTGCATTCGCAGAGGAACGACACTGGACCCTGCGCTGTTCTTTCTGCCTGGCTCTTCCTGGGTTAGCTGCCGGCCCCTCCACCTCCGCGGAGGAGCGGCACACCGCCGGCCGGCTCTCTCGGGGGCTGCTCAGATGTTCCTGGTGCATGTTGTCTCTCTCCTCCTTTATAGTCCTCTTCCACCAATCCCAACTCTGCTACCCACACGCCAAGCACACTGCTCTCCTCCAATAAGGAGCAGGATCAGCTCCTGCAGCTTATCAGTCAAACTGATGAGGCAGCTGCGTAGAGGTTGTTTGCTCCCTCTCAGCGCCATATTGTGGGAGAGCAGATGCATAGAGTAAGTCTTAATTCCAGTAACTTAGTCTAGTCTCAGTTGCTCCCCACAGTCTTGGATTTGGTAAGTTTCAAAATGATGTTAATGGGGTCTTTTTACTTGATTCTTTCCATCCCCTGATGGTTGCCCAAATTTGGAGCTGAGGATGGTGAAGCAGCTCTTTGCTTGAACATCCTCGCTAACTGCTAGAGAGGAATGGGAAATGGTGGTCAGCAGACCCTAAGCTTTGGAGAGACAGGAAGAGTCCCCCTGACCTACATGGACTCAGAAGACTGTGGCTGGTGGCTCTGGGTACCTTCCACTTCTCCTCTGTCTCCATGACTCAAATAGTGGTGGTTTCCAGCTCCATGGCCTCGGGGCACCCAGAGGAGGCTGCCCAGCTTTGTGACTTCAGAACGTGGAAGACAGAAGAACCGGAGTTGGATCAGACAGGGCCCTGGAGAGGTTGCTGCTGAGTATGGGTGAGTCAAGAAGCCCGCAGCGCCTGGGTCTCGGGCATGGCTCATACCCCTCACACGCAGGTTCAACAATGTTTTTACTTTGTTTGCAAGGGGGACTCCTTTAGTGTAGTGCAAGTTCAGCAAATTATTGGGGCTCTAAATGCCTCTTTTATTCCAGTTAATCAGATTATATTGACTGATTAAATGCGATTTGTTATTAACATTCACTTAGGAGCAGCTGAGAACTTTATTAATAAGTCATTATGTTGGAGACTTTAAATACCTGGTGTTCAAAAGCAATTCCAAATGCCTTTGTATTGTAAACTTTTGGACTCCCTAAGGAAATAGCTTATGCCTGGTGTGTTGCATTCCTTTAATGCTCAAAGACATCATAGGAAAAAAACTCAGAACGTGCCCCAATCCTTCAATAAGTCAGTTCTTGCCTTGTTCTGGAAGGCGTGTTCTTTAGTTTGATTAGGATTTTCCCCCATCCTTTCTCTAGAAGAATTGCAACCCTGAGCAGCTCTCGGTAAAGAAAAGCATAATAAATATTAGTGAGGCACATTTGCTGAGAGCTCCTGCCTCCCATGACTTTGCCATCTGGTAGTGGATGAAGAACATGTACACACACGATAACACTTTCAAGGGTACCCAGAGAGTAAGGCACACAGGGTGGAAGCCAAGTGTCGCATAATCAAGCATGTTCAAAAGCCGATAGGCAACTTCCAGAGAGAAGTGGAGGATGGTACCAGGAGGTGGGAAGCCGGGTGAGCCTGCTGTACGGAGGAGTGGGTCTGTCTACAGGCCGTCCTTGCAATTGCCCAAAGCATCTGAGGGCTGAGTCATGCCCAGTAGCTACTGTAATCACCAATATTTGAGGTGAAAAGGCAAATACGGTGGATTGAAACTGGCAAGCAGGTGGATGCGTGTTGCCTGCCCCGGCTGACTTGAGGGAGCAGCTTCCTTGGCTGACAGTGGGCACCAGAGCAGCTGCCCAGTTTTACCAAGGACACCCAAAGGCTCAGGAACCCGTGACATAACATCCATGGATATGCGTTTGAAGGTGAGACTGGAACTATGGATACTGATGGAGAGTCTTTTTGAGAACTAGCTGGGTATCTTGATAGCTTCTCCCACCCAGCGTAGCTCAGGGACTGTTCATTTATCCTGGCAGGAGAAGGGTGTTCTTTTCTACAGGGAGTGAGAAAGGGGAGTCTCTGGCCTGGAGAAAACCAGGCAGGTTGATGGTGGAGACTGCACAGACAGGTAAATTGACTTCCTGCTGTCTTTCCTCACTAAGCTTTTAGAATAGTGAAAGCCAGGTCTAAAACCTCCAGGCAAGAAATCCCATAATCCTCCCCGAGAATCTGGCCAGTTCAGGAAGAAAGCCCTGAAGACACTAATATCAGAGGTTCTCTAAGGGAATGGCCCAGTCAGATCACCTTATGCTGAAGCCCACATCCAATAAGCTCCACCCATGTTCTGAGAACTCCTCTTACATATGCGCCGAACAGAAAGGTTACTAGAAATCTGAGACAAGTCTCTAAAAATAAAGATGGACACCTGTGGTGGAATGAGAAGGCCATGCCAAGATGGCCGCTGGCAAGCAAGCGTCAGTTACTCAGGAATGGCTTTGAAACCCACCTGGCAACGGAGCCTGCCTGGCAACAGGCTGTGATTGGATGGCTTTGGAAACTGCCTGGCAACAGGCTGTGATTGGTTGGGGCATAGACCGCCCCTTGACCGGATTGGCTGGTCTTGGCTATATAAGCTGTTGTTCTAACTGAAATAGACGAGTCTGCGGGCTGCTTGCCTCAAGCCCGCTTTCATCCAACTCCCGGGGTCTGTGTGTTAACTCCGCACCTCTTGCCCCCACCACGCTCCTCCTCTCAGAAACGAATCCACTGCAACATTGTTGAGAAATCAACTGCAACAGAAACCCAAACAAACAAATGACAAAAAAGGATTTGGAAGAAACAGAGATTATGTGTGAAAGAACACTTACAAGTATAATTAATATTCTCAGAGAAAGCACCCATGAAACAAGAATAGAATGCTATAAAAAAAAAAAAGCAAGGGAGTTAAAAAGAGTTTTTAGGAATTAAAGATTATCTCTGCAAAGGAAAGCTCACTAGAGGGGATAGAAGAAAAAAGTTGAGGAAACACCTCAAAAAGTACAAAAGAAAGGAAAAAGTAGGGTAAAAAAGGAAAAATAAGACTAGAAAAATGAGATTAAGTCACTGGTAATTCAAGAAAGTGTCACAGAACAGAAGCAGACAGAACAATGGTGAAAATAATCCCCCATCATGAGCTTTCAGACTACCTAAAAGGAGAAAAACCTATATGCCAGAAAACCAAGCTACATACAAAGGATTATAAATCGGAGTCATTTTATGTTTCTCAACAGTTCTGAAATCCATACAGCGATGGATCAATGCCATCATGTGTTGGAGGTGAAGTTATTTCTAGGCTAGGGTTCTATATTCAGTTAAATGTCAGCCAAATGAGAGGCTAGCATAAAAAGATTCTCAAAAGACTTAATTCCTAAGTATTCCTTCTTGAAAATTTCCTGGGGGGTTTAACAAAGAAAGAGGGAGACAAGGGGTTTAGGAGGCAGAAGATCAAACCTGGAGGACGAGAGCCAGGCAACTGGATCATCTGGAGCAGTGAGCAGCCCAGGAGAGACAGCTTCAAGGCAGAAGGCATAGAGAGTGGGTGCATCAGCATGGCTTGATTTAGACAACCGGATGTCTTCAGACCGTTTTTAAAGAAATTGGTAGAGAAGTTGACATTGACTCAATGACTAGTCATACAAAATCAGGCAAACAAAGAAAATGATATAACTGGAGAAGGACAAGTTTACGTGAGAAGAAATCAGAGAACGTTATTATAATAAAGAAGTCATTGTATTGATCTAACAAACAATGCACACAGGCCAGCGCCGTGGCTCACTAGGCTAATCCTCCACCTGCGGCGCCAGCACCCCAGGTTCTAGTCCCTGTCGGGGCGCTGGATTCTGTCCCGGTTGCTCCTCTTCCAGTCCAGCTCTCTGCTGTGGCCCGGGAAGGCAGTGGAGGATGGCCCAAGTCATTGGGCCGTGCACCCACATAGGAGACCAGGAGGAGGCACCTGGCTTCTGGCTTCAGATTGGTGCGGCACGCTGGCCATAGCGGCCATTTTGGGGGTGAACCAATGGAAGGAAGATCTTTCTCTCTGTCTCTCTCTCTCACTGTCTAACTCTGCCTGTCAAAAAAAAAAATGTACACATACATGACGATAGATCGATAGTTATATTGAGAAGCTGCCTGTGTGTTCATGGCTGTGGAAATGAAGCAAAATTCTCATCTTCCATAGTGGAAAGTCAAAGTGGAATGTTTACATCTAAAAAATTAGAGAAGTAATCCCAGCAATCTGATTTAATAAAAAGCCAGAAAATAATTAGGTAAAAAACCGTATCTAAAAATAATCTATTTGGGATAATGGAAGTAAATGCCAGGAGAATCAGCTTAAAAAGATAAGAAAGTCGTTGCCTCTGGCAAGGAGAAAATGAGAGACGTGGGTGAGGCGAGTGCCATTTCTCACACTAAACCTTGTAAAACTATTTCCCTTTTGAAATATATGTAGGTACAACACAGGTAGAAAAAAATACAATTGATGTGATTCCTATCACTACCAATTTTATCTTTGCCATGCTGATCCACAGATGTGAGTCTGTGTCACTGGTAGCATGCTGGCGTTGCACAGCAGACCTGTGTCTGCGAGCCGTCCCGCCTTCCTCCGTGGGTACCTGCTTTCGGAAGTGCTGGGAATTTCATTTGAAGTTGTGTTTTCATAAATGTCTCTTGATGTTAAGAGAGAGCTCATTTCTCTATTTGATGCTACAGGAAATAGCGCATTGCTGGTCTGGCCTTAAAGCTTTCCTTAATGAACAACTTTAATTTTTGATACATTTCAGGGTCCACAGGAGCCAGTTGTGTTCCTTTTGTTTTGGCATCTATTTTTCTGCTATTGTGTAGTGGTGAAATTACTCCTAAATATGTATAATATGAAAGGGTGAATCTGCTTAAGATTAAAAGTTTATGGTCACTTGTTAACAGGAGGTAATTTCTAGGAAGTTATCATAAGAACAATCAGGAATGGAGCTAAAGATTTTCATACAGAGATGTCCTTCAGAGTCCTATTTATATCAGGAAAACATTGTGTAGAAACAGAGAGAATGACAATAATTTAAATGATAGAATTGTATGCAGCCATTAGGTAACATATTTAGAAGAATAACTACGGGTAGGAAAACATCATATATTGATAAATGAAATCAATGTATCAGCAGGCAAAGACTTCAGGCCTAAGTACCTAACTTTTATCAAAAATCATTATATCTTATGTAAATCCAAAGGAAGGGAATGACATTAAAATGCTTAAAGTAGTCATGACTGGAACGTAATTTCTTAAGTAACTTTCATCTTGTTTTTTTGTTTCCAACTTTCTCTACAAAGCACAAACAAATTTTATAATTAAGAGAAAAGTACTTTTTAAAAAACAAAACCAAACAGGAAGGATACCCAGCCATTAAGACTTGGCTTTGCTGGAACTGAGATTATTGGAGGAAAAAGAGGAAAATCTTTTAGGTAGCTGCTGTCTTTTCCATGGTCCTGGGTTTGGAAGGCTTAACACATTCTGAGCCAATTGGAGTTATTTGTTCTGGCTGTGTGAGTAGACTTGGTTCTTATCGTCTTCTGGATTCTTCAGATTACTGCTATTTTAAGCTAGTTTATAACAGTATGGTTACTCAAACCACTCTATGATATCAGATTTAGTAGATTTGTTATTTGACTTAAATCAAAGGCTCTATGATTGAGCAGTGAGGTAGCCTGCCAGTTCCTGGACAATTAGAAGATTAGACTCGCCATATGTTATTTTCCCCTACCTGCTTGCACAAGAGGTTTTTGTTACCGTATAAATCTTTCATGCTACACTAGCAGCAGCAGTGACAAGGAATACTGAAATTCAGTAAAACGCTCCCACCAGACCATGGAACGGAGGCTACAGCAATGGTATCTGTAACAGCCATTGGCATGGTGCCAGGGAACAGACTCAAACCCACAGCTAACGCTCGCATAACTGCTCACAGATGCCCAGGCCGGGGCCTGGCTGGGGAAAGGTCCAGGGTGGTGGGGAGGCAGGTGGCTGGGATGGCTCCTTGCATTGTGTCCCTGGAGACAGGTAACTCCATGAGGGAGAAGATGCTAGTTGGAGTTTAGTGATAAGCTGTCTGAGTCATTAAATTTTTTCTCATTGAAAGGGTTGTGTTTGTAAGGCACTAGGAGATGTACTCAGCAACACACAGGCTTCCCTGAGCACACAGCATGAGGAAGAATGCATGCAGGTGGAACCAGAAATTGAATTAAGCCAACCGCAAGACAAATACTAATAAATATTTACACTGTGTAGCTATGAAGATAAATGCTTTCAAAGGGTGTTGAGTGTATGAGGACTCTCAAGACAGGTGTACCACACTCGGTCTGATGAAAAGTAAATCCAAGTTCTTGGGACATTTCTGAATACCCGTGAGGTGGTGTTCGTAATTGGATCCACTTGCTTGTTTCAACCCTCTCTAATCATGTCTTCCAAGCACCACGCAGGACTCTGTCCCTTATTTACTCAAACTATGCAAAACAGGATCTGTGCTCCATAGGAGCTTTTTCTCTTCTGACATCTTGACCCCAGGTGCCTGATCTTGAGCCTGACCTTGTGTGGCTATCATAAGAATCAAGAGCTCCCAGAAATTCAATGTCCTGTTGTCTACATGTGTGTGATTCTCAAAGCAGTCCCTGACCCATAAGCAGTTGAGGAACCACTGCCCTGTTTGGGGGCTATGCTTGGTAAAGGAAGGAACCTCATCTCTAATTTGTTCTGCAGTAAGATTTAACATCCATTTGGTAAAATCTTATCAGACACCATGCCTGGTACTTTAATATCCAAGTTGAGTATCCCTTTCCCGGAATGCTTGGGACCAGAAGTGTTTCAGACTTTGAATTTTGTTGGGAGATGGATGCTGTTGGAATATTTGCATGTGCATAATGAGATTTTGAGTAAGAGACCCAAGTCTAAACATGAAATTCATTTATGTTTCATATGTACTTTATATCCATAGCCCGAAGATAAGTTTTTACAATACTTGAAATTATCTTGTGCATGAAATGAAGTTTCATGGGGTGGAATTTTTCCCATGTGTCACTGCATTGGTGCTCAAAAAATGTCAGATTTTGGAGCTTGTCAGATCTTTCATTTTTGGATTAGGGATGCCCCACTTGTATGTCTCCTAACTTAGTGCCCTTTCAGCCTGGGACAGGTCACACCATCTCCCTTACAAAGAGAAGTGGCTTGCCGAGGATCTCAGCTGTAACAAGGGTCAGGGTTGTGTGTGGTAAGCCTTCTTCTCCTCTGAAGTGAAGCCTTGTCTTCCCCGTAACTCCCTGCAAAGTGTCAGACATGACACATAGCTCTCCACAAAGCCATGATCAAAATTTGCTGATGAGTTGATGAGTTGTATAGGTGGACATCAAGGTACAGGTGAGAAAAATCCAGAAGATTCTATCTCTGCAGGCTGCATGAAAAATCTGAAACCCTAAACAAAGGGTCAACCCTGCTCCATCTCATATCCAAAGGATCCCTCATAGGATTAGAGTGTAAAAAGACAGTTAGTCATATTATTCAGCCACAAACAGGAATGAAGTTCCGACATATGCCACAATGCAGATGACATAATACTTGAGAATGCCATGCTATGTGAAATAAGACATTCATGGAAAGCTAAAACCTGTAGGATTCCACTTCTCTGAGGGAGCTGGAGGAATCAAATTCATAGAGACAGAAGTGGGATGGTGGTTGCTAGGGA